TTTTGAAAGTTTGTCACGTAAATATGTTACACAAACTAAACGTTTCAGACAATTTTGAAGCAGAAAATTGGTAAGACTTTTAACAAAATATTTTACTAGCACTAAGATAATTGCTTATTCATCTGGACCTTTCTTTTTTTATATACAGTCTTCTTTGACCCTTTATTGCACATTGTAAAGTACAGGTGACAAATCCATATTTGTTGCTTAAAACATATACAAATACTTCAGCTCTGTAGTTCAATGCTCTTACTTTCAGATAACAGTCTAAATAAACCATGGAATTATTTGTATTTGTTCCTCAATTGAACATTGTTACTTCTGTATAACGCACCCATTTATATCTTACTAAAATGTATTTCAAAGATAATGTACCCCCACTCCACCTAAACCGTATTCTCATATACGTGCGATAAAGGGTTAAACTCCTTACGTTCGTCAACCATAGAAATTGAACTAATCTTAGTTGTTGTTTTTACGCAGTATATACCTTTTAAATATATACTGTTTTGCAGACAATTTAGACAACACAACTTTATATTTGCTATGATAATTATAATTTTGAAGACGGGTAAAATACGACTTTGCTGGCGATAGTTGTTGTGACGTCATGCAGAATGAATGTATCAGAACGCGAGTCGAACACGCGACGTGGGAGACAGCATGACTCATGGCTTTTGTTACCAAGTGCTGAATCGGGGATGGATCTCACTGGAGGTCGTCCCATGGCGCATGATGTGTGTTTTGGGCAAAGACTGAGCAAGAAAAATTGCATTGCGTTTATTTCGTCTGAATAGATATATCAGTGAGTGATGGTTCAAAAAACTAGCGTTTATATTCTTACAATTTAGTGAACTGTCAAAGGGAGAATTTTAAGAAACTGATTACTAAATACAGAATAAGTTTTACTTTTTCCAAAACCATTAGTGATGATAATGTTTTACTGCTATACATGATATTGGCAATAATTTTAAAATATTTTATAATGAAAGGAATGAGAATTGATTAAGTAATCTCAAAGAAGGCATAAGTTCATGATAGAAGTTTGGCTGTATGGACTTGGAACACAATTTTGGTGCACTTTCTAAACAATACTTATTAGTTAATATGGGAATAATATTAGATCGAACACAGTATCATCTTACAACTAAAGCAGATGGGCATTATAAACCTATCTTTGAAATAATGATCGTTAATTCAGTATTTCTCATTTTATCCAAAACTTTGATTTAATAAGTTTCCTGATAATATTTTATAGAATTTTAAAAGTTAAGATCATAGGTTCCTAAACTGTGGTTTACCAATTACTGGTGGTCCACGATCTCCCTTGAGGTGGTCCACAGAAATGTTTTGTAATTAAGGAAAGGAGGAGTTTGTAGATCCTGGAGTAAACCTGACACTTGAGATGTTAAAAATTCACTAGAAAAGTGAAAAGGTATATGTTATATGGCTTTTGAGTTAAAGTAGGAATATGTATTTTTTACTTGAGAGTTTGTGCACATTGTAAAATAATGATATGAACTACCTGCTTGCTGGTTTTTGTACAAAAAAGAAGAATGACACTTATTTGAGCTTTCTTTTGAAAGAACTTTAAGGTCAGAGTTTAAAAGAAATCCACTATTAGAGTTTTGGATTCAGAGAACTGGAGACTACCCAGAACTACCTAAACATTCAAGATTTTATTTAAAGTGTTTTGAATTATAAAATTTTGTGAACTTTTATGTAAAAATTTTTAAACAAGCTAAAAGTTAGCAATTTTTGTAACAACCGATGTTAAAATGTTCATGAGATTTCAAATATAATTCAGCATTTTTGTATTTATTAAAGTTGCAATTATATTTTAATTTTACAATGCACTGCAGAGTTTTCCTTAGAGAAACTATATTTGAATGTTGTTACATCACTTTCGAGGTTCAAAGGTTATTGTACTCACAGGTACTACATGTACAGCCACCAATGTAATGTGAAATGGTGAAGTAAGTGGTGCTTAACCTATTTTGTTCCCACTGCACTCTTCTGGTAATTAACACACACATTAGAATTTCATCTAGCCCACTTTTAGGTATATTCATAAATTTCACTTGAACTAACCTAGTATTTATACATTAAGTGTTTTGTGTTAACACACCGATACTTATACAAGTTACAATTTCCATTTATGCCCAGATTGTTATTTAATCAAAGGGGAAAGAAAGGTAAATAGTTTTCAGAATAATTCTTTATTACTATCAATTTATCAGCTTTTAAAGAGGTAACTATGTACATCAAAATGTATTACAAGAATGTACAAAATGGTTTATAATAACAAAAGATGCATCTATTTACACTGATAATCCCATACAAAGTTTGCCATATTTTATTTAAAAGTATGTTAAAATATTTTACATCATAAATGAGTTTTAGAAGTGTTTGTTCTAATACAATTTGCATGTCACTGTGGTATTTTAGAAATGTACAACATTCCATGTGATTTAGTCAAGGTTTAAAAAATCTAGTATTTAATATTTTGGAATTTTAATTTCATAATTGCTTGAATCTAATTAACATTGATTAAAAATTTACTTCTGGTAGAAGAAATACAGTACATGATAATGTTAAATCAAAGTGTGTTTTGAAACTTGTATGATCTGTGGCTACTAAATAATTGGTTTCACATACATGATTCATGCTGAAACATTGTGCAATTTTTAATAACATACTGTAATCTATGGTTACTATTAAGCAGTCCCATGGTGGAACAGTGGTAAGTCTACAGATTTACAATGTTAAAATCAGGGCTTAGATTGCCCTCAGTGGACCCAGCAGATAGCTCAAGGGGGCTTTGCTATAAGAAACACATACACACTAAGCAATCAGTGCTTTTTAAGAGTGTTCTGCTACTTGTATACTTATATTTTGAGTTTTATTGCCTTTAGCAATAAAACTACATCCTTTCTCCTTATACATCTTGTAGATACATTACACTAGAATTATACTTTGGATGCAGAGATAAATTCTAGTTCATTTCTTTTTAAGTGTACTTACATGCTGAGTTTTCCAGCTTTTAACAATAAAACTGCTTTTACACTTACTGTACAGTTTCCAGAATAATACTTCGTGGATGTAGAAAGTCTAGTTCATGATCTAATGTTTTGAATTTTCTAACCTTTTAACAGTAGAACTGCCTCCTTTCTTCTTATATTCTTATAGCTCCCAGAATTCTACAGAGAGAGTGAAAAAATCTAGTTCACATGACTTATAAGTTTACTACATTACTCGTGTCTTATGTTAAAATTTCCTTTGATTCACAGCAAAACTACATGTATCCCCATCATTCTTGTGTACTACCAGCATTTTTATTATACAAAGAAAGGAAAGAAAAATGTGTATACATCATTTACTATTCTGTTTGAGAAGATTAAAATATGAATAATTTTCAAGTAGGCAAAAATTTTCCTATGTAAGCACACTTACGTTCTGTTTGTGTACACGTGCAGTATTTGTATTAGTGAAGAAAATCCATTATCAGAATTTAAAAGTAGATTTTTCTCTGTGTTTAAGATTTTTTTCTGCAACTTATTTGTAAGATTGTGTTGAAATTCAATGTGAATGTATGGTTGTAGGCATTCTTTGTGGAGCTTTCAGGAGTTAACAAGTTCCAGAATAAAAGTTGTCATTATTTTTTACCTGGTTTGTGCAGTATTTTGTACCACACCCTGCTTTTCCCATGTCAGATGGGTGTGGATAATGATTGAGCTTAGGTATTGCTGTTTAAATGACATGCATGTTACCAAATAAGGCTAAACTTCACTAACAGTAACTGACCTTCACATATGTTATAAAATGAACCATTAGTGCTTGTTGCATTGCAGCAGGTAAATGTATCTTTAGAATCACATTTCTGGAAAATTTCTTAACATACAAATTCAGCTGTTTCTCAACCATCCTCATACATTTTGTGAGAAATACTGTGACATTTTATGGAAAGCAGCAACATGATATATTCCTATGTTGTTGTTTTTTTTGTGGACAGCTCAATTAAGACAGAACATTGGTGGCATGACAGAAATCAGTATCTACTTATATAAACAACATCTGTTAAAGTTTTTGCATATTTCTAAAAGATTGTAATTTGTGTCAGTGATAGCAGCATTTGATATCAAAATGTCAGTGGACTCGTGTGCTGAGGTCTTAAAATTGAAATATAATTTTTATATATAGCACCATGCATTTTCTAATTTTCACATTATGTTTTTAATCTTATAACATTCATGTGCTCAAAATGTATAAACATATAGTTTCTTAACACCCAGTAAAATGTTTTATCAATACACTAGTTGAAGGGGTCTAAACATATGAATGTCAAATTTACTAATAATTTATCACAGAGATTGACTGTATGTCAATACTTGAGTGTTTTTATCAAAACTTTTCGTAGTAGGTTAAAATAATGGCTAAGACATTAGCAATAGCACTGTACTTATTGTATTGTATAGTGTTTAGATATTAATTGAAAATATTAGTGAAGTGTGTTTACCTGTAATAAAATAACTTAAGGCTGTTTATATTTCATATGTATTTTTTGAAGATCAAAGGCAAGAAGAACTGAACTAGTAGATATTTAAGATAAACTTAGTATCAAAAACATCAATTCAGACTTTTTTAGCAGCATGTATTTTGTTATATTAAGAAAATGAATAAATTTATTGATCATTTTTTGATCATAAATAGTAGGTCAAACTTGTAAACAATATATTTTGGTTTCACAAATGTGTATCAAGTTAGTGTTTTTGAAAAGAACATTTTAAACTTATCACTAATAAGTTCTAATTTTGGAAAAGGAACAAATTTATTAAAATACTATTTTGCATCATTTGAAATAAATGCAAACCTTTTTTTAACAGTAGATTTAACATGATTTGTTTCTTTAGTGAAGGAACAAATGTAGTAGGCTTTTGTTTTTGATTGGTTGATAATAATTTATGAATGAAAGTTTATATTCAACTATCATTTCTGTTTAGATATGAGTTAATATCTAGAAAAAAATCAGTGCTCGAGCACCATGTTTGTGGTTGCTATGGATACAAGAAGCAGGATCAATCCTCATCTTGGTGGGGCTACACCAATGAGTCCAGAGAGTGCCATGGCCTCAGATGTTTTTGACCAGTTTCTGTCAGCGGGTACTTTCAAAGCTACATTGTCGACATATCGTTACCTGTGTGAAGTGCTTCGAATCAAGCCAACAAATTACTCAACATTCTACCCAAAGTTAAAGGCCAAGTTGCGTTCTTGGAAGGCAGCATCTTTGTGGTCAAAGCTAGACAAAAGAGCTAGTCATAAGTGTTATAATCGAGGAAAGGCATGTCCAAATACTAGGGTAAGTAGTACATCCATGCATCTCAAGTTGTTTACACTCAAACAGTTAGTGACCTAGACTTGTGTGGCTTTCCTTAGTAGTTACTGAATAGGAACAGTATTTGCACGTGTAAGATAAAAGTCACTGCAGAGTGTCAGCATCTGGGGTTTGTCTTCTATGTATGTGCATGTAGGTCAGTCTAATATATCAGAAGAAATGAAGTACATTGTAGTTTTCAGTAATGACATTAAACAAATTTTTGTAATGATTGTTTTATAAAAACATTCCATAATTATTATTAAGAGTATTTTATTTACAAAAATGTTCCATTATTTTATAGTCTTTTTTTTGTTTAACTTTGTATTTCTTGATAACTCAATGAGTGAGTTGTGGGCTATGTTACAAGTTATTTGTAAACAATACAAGATATCAGTAGCTTTGAAAATTTTTGAATATATTTTTAATTTAGAAATGAAAACTATTCAGCTATAACAAAAATGTAAAATATTAGCATAAAACCAGTTTAAGTGTATGATAATTTTTGTGGTTTTCTTTGTGCAAGCTACATATACCAATTGAAATTGCATAAGTTATAAATATACTGTTTATCAGTGAGCTTAAAAGTAGGATGTTATTAAATATAATCATTAAATAAATGTGAAGCTTTTTTTCATTGAAATGTTAGCCAGCATATTAATAAAGGGAAGGGAAGTCCAACAAACAGTTTTAAAAATAATATTCTTATTAAGTGTTTTCAACTGGAAGCTAAATATTTTACACTGGAAACATTGTACTTGCAGTACAAAGCTGATGAACTCTCGTATATTCAACACTTTTCATGTCTTTTGAGAATATTATAATTTCTTCAGTGTATTAAATCGTGAATTTAATTCATTTTCATAGTTGCCATTCTCATGTAATTACACATATAGTATACACCACACTGATTTGTTCCAACATTTTTTTATTCATTAGGTTTCATTATTAATGTTAATTTTAATGTAATTTGGCCTTCCTCAGTAATCATAGTAAGGTATGTTTTCGTTGAAAACTACTGTTGCAATTTTACTTGGAAACATCAATTTCAACTCATTGTTGGAAGTTATCATCAGGGTGAATTCCTTTGAGTTAAACTGCTCTTTTTGAAAACATTATTCACGAGATTGTATTAAAGTTTGTTTTTAATTAAAATAAAATAAAAATAGTTTCTAAGAGTTACAATGTAATTCAAGTTAATCTATATAAATAGTACTGTCTGTCCATGTAACTACTTCACCCCCTGTAGATGGATCTTCACCAAATTTGGTATGGAGGTTCATTGGGTCCATGGGGAGATATATGTAACCTTGTAGTTTCACATTTTCTGTTTTGCAGTTTTTATGAGAATGTTTTACAATTACATATAAGGAAAGCAACTTTTTATGTCTTAAGATAGATAACCTTTCATTAATCATGAATTTACAGGGGATGGGTACTCCAGCTAGTCATTTAATATTCTAACAATTCAAGTTGATAATGTCATGGAACATAAAATTTATAAATTATAAATTTTTCTTTTTAGAATGAGGTGTGTGTTACTTTAATTAAAATAGTATAATGATATGATCTTGAAACAGGAAAGCTCTGGTGGTATTAGGGCAAAATACTGTTGTTGTGATTGCAATTAATCACTAGAGTTGATTTACATCCTAAGAATCTTGTAATTTATATGCATTAATTGTTAAAAAGACAAAAATTCAAAGCTCAAAATAATATAAGATTTTTGAATAAAAACCTGAAAGTGTAGTTTTTGATCTCATGCTTTGCATAACTTCGAGTGGCTACTTTTGAATAAATACAATTGAAACGTGTATTAAATTTCGTACCACTATAATAAACAGTAATGTTTACACAGTATAGCCTTATCTGTTAATTTGTGATGAAAAGGAAGTTCTTGAGTATTAATTAAAATATTTGAAAGAATCATTAACTTTGCACACAAAAATGTCTGAAACTTTACATTGAAATGTTTCTGTAACAGACATATATATATATATATATGTAACTAATGGTTTTCTACTTTAATGGTAGTTGAGCAAATATAACTGTCTTTCTACTGTTTTTGAAGTTTAAGTATCAAAACTTAGTAACCTAAATTTTTAATTGATATATTGAGCCAAAAAAACATGTATTATGTTTGTAATAATCTTAGGTATAAATATTTACCTTTATCCTATTAGTTCTTCTAATGCATAAAAGAAAGAATGCACACAAAAAAAATTGAAACTGAACAAGTTTATGAGTAAAATGATTTTTAGATATGAAAGTTACTTTAAGCTTACCAGTATTATTAATGATAAAAATTGATTCTCTCTCTTTTCTTGTTTATAAATAGGTACTAATCATTGGGGCAGGACCCTGTGGTTTGAGGACAGCCATTGAAGCACAACTTCTCGGAGCTAAAGTAGTAGTAGTTGAGAAAAGAGATCGCTTTTCTCGTAACAATGTGCTTCATCTGTGGCCAATAGTGATTCATGATCTCCGCAACCTTGGAGCCAAAAAGTTGTTTGGGAAATTCTGTGCAGGATCCATAGATCACATAAGTGAGATTCATTTGTTTTGTCTATAGTTCCTGAAAAAAGAAGTCTGCCATATAAATAAGAGAAATATATGAATGAGTTAATTGTGGAGTATATGAAGTGAATAAATAGTATTTTATACGTAAGGATTAAATATTTATAAACAAACATATGTTCTGAATATGAAATTTAATGAAGTTCACAGAACAACAATAGTGATTTTTAATCCAAATTGCAGATGATTGTGATGTTGAATGACACAAAAACAATACTAAAAGGTATTACAAATGAATGAGGTTATTTTCAAAGAAATTTCCCAAGTAAGATTCAGTTTTCAAGTAATGGTGTGAGAAAGAGTTTCCAACATTAGAAGTTTGAGTTACTGTAAGTGACATAATTCTGGTTTCTAGGTAAATTTTAAAATGTATACATATATGTTAACATTTCAGTCCTCTTACCTTGTACATCTTGATTAGTAACTGAAAGTCTAACATTGAATTTCTGACAGCTACAATAAAGCTTTATAGGGATTCTGTGCATTATAATGTAATTTAGTAATGCGTAGATGTACAAGTCTGATGTTGCTGCATACATTCTCAAACTATACATGTGAGATGTCAGGTGATTGAAAGTACACAGTTTTGTGTGTTGTGATTTTAATGTACGAAAATAGTAAATTTCACTAGCACTATGGATTTGTGAGCTGTAATTTAGCTACTGTAAAAATAATTTATTGATTCGTTCAATTTGTCAAGTATATACAGAGTTGAGTACATTATATTAAAACAATTTTGAATATAAAAATGAGCAAATCACATGACAACACAGCTGATATAAAAGTATGGTGGAATACCATAGATCAGAACTATAATTTGACATTATTTGATGTTTCATAGGTAGTGTGATGCCACCAAAAATTTATTGTTTTGGTAAGGATATGTAACAACCTTTTCCAACACAAAATATTCATATACACAGTTCATAAAGGTGTGTTCAGCTTGGGAATTTAGAATTTCCAAGATGGATATTCCCAGTACTTACTGGTTTGAAAAGAAAGGAATATAGATCAACTTGGGGCTCCAGGACCATTGAGAAAGAGACCTGTAACAAGTCACACCCCAGCTGTGATAAACAAAGTGTGGCATTTTGTAACAAGTGAGAATCAACTAATAGAAAAATCAGTGGCAAAATTGTGCATTGCCCCCAGGTAACAGTGTGAAACATAATCAAGATAAAGCTTCCAGTCATACCTCTTATTCAGTCATTGTATACCTCAAGCAGCTGGAGGATGAAATTGGTATTCATGCTATTCCATACAACGATATACTGGTCAAGTTGCTGGATGCAGCAACTCTGAATAGCTCTGTGATCAGACTGTTGAAACTGACACTGGGTTTACCATTGTAAAAGACTATCATATGGTTGTTATGTTCAAAGCACACCACTCCTAACTGAACAATTTTCCACAATCCATCTAGTGTACAAGGATGTTGGTTTGGCAGCTACAGCTTATCCTGCTCAAAGTGGCCCTGTTGCTTGGTGTAGAAGTTCATGAAAATGTTACCTTTAAATCTCTTATTGAACCTCCTGAAAACCTATCTAGCGAAACCACAGCCAAGGGAACGGGCTGATTTTTCAAAGCCC